TTTTTTTGAAACAACTAGCAACAGGATTATCACAGTCTGCTTATTTTATTCAAATGTGGACAGGTTATAAAAGAATGACCAGATGAATCAGAAGAACATTTTATTGGTAATCCTAGTACATCAACTAGTAATTCTCAGCAATTTCATTATTTTGACTCTTCCTACTCCTGTGAGAGCCATTTCATGGTCAAGTGTCAATCAATAAGCTATTTACACACATCTTAGTCTAGTTATTGCAGAGCAAATCAATCTCAGGGCATGACGCACCAGGCCCCTCTCACACAGAGAGCCTTATAGTCCTTGAAGGTCTTGCAGAGACCCAGAGTGCTGCTACTGCTGATATCAATAACAATAATAGTAAGAGTGTAACATGATCACTTAGTTTTCCTGCATAGCTATTATAATTTTGTGAAAGGGGAAGAAAATTCAGCAGAGCTGATTTTCGACTGCCTGGTGCTGTCAGGCTTTGTGTTTCCATTTCTTGTAATTTTATATAAAACTTTAGTATATCACTCTTTCTCTTTGGGACCTTCCTGTCCTTGATACTTTTCCTACTATATCTGTTATGCATTGCCCTTGCAGAGGATGGTTTTATTCTGGGACAGCCTGTATTTTGGAAACAGAAGTAGCTTTCTCTAGTGATACCATGACAGAGGAAAGAAAATATAAGACCTGGATGATCAAAAAGATAATACTCTAATTTAGTTACAGGATTTTTGAAATTGGTGATGGGCAAGAATATCTGTCCTTTGTAAGCAATGCTTATCTTTCAGCAAAATCAGGTGAACAGGGTCAAAATGTTATCTGAAACACAGAGCACTCAGCAAAGCTTCTCATATAGTCAGGAGGTAAGAACCACCACCAGATGGCACGGTGGTGGGACTGATGTTCGGGAAGAGAGATGGTGTGGCCTCTGTACTGGATTTTCCTACCACTGGGGAAAGCAAGGAAACAGAGAAGTCGACAGTGAAAAAGGAATGAACCACATAGAGAAACAAAGAAGCCCAAGACAAAAGGAAGGACAGTGGCAGAGCTAGTGCACAGAGACTTTCAAAAGCAGCATCACAGAAATAGAATTTATCACTTTGAAGAATGTCTTCTACTGTGGCACTGATGGTATAGTGGTGAACATAGCTGCCTCCCGAGAATGTCTTCTAACTTAAGTTCAGAAAATGTCAATTCATCTTACCTTTAGACACAAAGAAACTATTGTTTTTAGCAGATGGTAGATACTAGACACCCTAATTACTTCTGCTAAAATCAAATTATACTCCTGGATTGAAAAAACAAAACGAAACATCCTTTGTAACTGCATTAATAAGCTATCAAGACAGTAAGGAATACTAAAGACCCAAAACTCAATGAAAGTGGGAACCCAGAGAAGTAAACAGAACATTAGAACACACAAGTCAGATTTTGCTGTGAGGGCATTTTCTCAGACTAGTTAATTTACACTCTCATTTTTTCACAGGAAACAAAGTCCAGGGCATGCTTAGTATGGGGGCATCTAAGACTTCTACCCTCACCACCCCCCAAAATCACATTCTCAGTGTCAGAGTGAACTTCACTCTCGTGTTCTAGAAACTTCTGGTTCTAGAAATCTTTTCCTCCTGAAGCCATCCATACTTCTCCATAGATTGTAACCATCTACCCACCCTCCATCCCCACTTAAGGAAATAATCTATCTTAAACCTTGGAACAAATCATCTCTGAGAATCACAACCACATTCCAGTTCTCAAGTAGGTTTGTAGTTAAAATTCACAATACCTGGCTGGTCTGGAAAACCTCAAGCTAAAAATTCAATGTTATCCCCGGTTAGTTGTGCCCCAGGCAGAACTAA